ATTATAGGATTGAATTCGCTCTTCAAGAAATTAATTCATACCTTTAAATAATAACTTGAGGTTTTTTTTTCATTACTGAAAATAATATGTATGATTGAAATTTTACAGTTATGAAGAATCTTGGATAGAAATCAAACAGATAAATTCAATGGGAAAGGACAAGACGTATAGACACACATCATATCAGCGCAGAGATTGCTACCAAAATCATTACCCCAACTGAGTTTGCGAAATGGTGATTTGACCAAAGATGGCAAAACTGACATCTACACACCAAAAGTGTTCCAACAATAAAAGAATAAATATATATTAAAAGAAGAACACAAGGCTTCTGGAAATGCAGAAAGACCATACAATTCAGTGAAAGGTGGAACACTAGAAGGACATGGAAGCATACAGTATATCTATATTTCTCTGTAGATAACTTAGCCACTGTCTGGGGACATATTATCATGGGTAGCTTCAACTCGTATGTAGGTCCAACACCTTCTCTCATCTGCTTGAATTGGATGCTAAGTTGTCACGTAGTTTTTTAAGTTGATACATTTTACTAATTTATTCATTTCAGATACTTCAAGATCAGAGATATCAATGGTCTGCACATGGTTTATTACCAAGAAAAGAAATATATACTTTACACAAGCGCACACACACCAATATACAAATTTTCAACTTTCCAAGCTTAGAGCAAAACTGCTACTATAGTAATTTGGAAGGCTTATTGATTAAATTATTTTTCATTTTTTAAAATTATCTGATAACTTTGTCTAAATCTTTTTAGTTTGACTTTTTTTTTTTAAACATCAATTTTATTAACCCAAAATTAGTATGTACAGAGCTAAGGCCTAAGGGGAGTAGGGCTCAAGTCCAAAATAAGTCAGTTCAAAATCAACAAATGTCTAATATGTTAACAGTAGACACATAATATAGACACAATAAATAGTTTTGGATTTTTAAGGATTTTAGTGGTTGGTTAACCAAATTTACTAGTATGTGTAAATAATATAAGGTGGTGTTATGAAAATAAATATTAATAGGTTGTTTGGTAAATAGTTGTTAGCTAATGGGTTAGTGGCCTTGTTTGGTTAATGACGGATCCGCTAAATTTTTGACGGATTCATCATTTTGGCGTTTTGACGGAAACCATGTTTGGTTATCAGCGGTTTGCTCCAAACTGCTGAAATCTCAAACGCTGCTAGGAGCAGTGTTTGACTAGTTTATAGCATTAGCGGATTGTAGAAAAATATTTTGGTGAATTAGATGTTAGCTAATAGCTAATTACATGCAAAATGACTTTCTCAAAAAGCTTAAAACCACTTTGAGCAGTTTTTTTTTTTTTTTTTTTTTTTTTTTTAGCAATCTGGAGGAATAAGTTGTTACAAAAAGCTAGTTAATCAAATACTCATATTGATTGTTTAACCAAGTCAAACAGTTAATAGTTGTCAAATAAATTAAAATTGACTGATAAACTAACTATGTTACTACCTAAATGTATAATCGGTCAAACAAACTTTGAGCTAATCCTGCCTATCCCAAATATCAACTAGTGGCAGAGCTCAAATAAGAGGATGAAGTTACCTAGGCAATATATATTAACATCACCTCCCCCAAGGGGCAACTACTAATGAATAATGATCTCTCCATAATATTGAAGGATCACCTTAATAAAGACATAAAAACCTGGGGATATGATGGGATATTCAAGATGTGAGAGGGATAAGGGATTTAAACCCACAACCCAATTAAAAGCAGAATTGCATGGCATAACCCTTATTAGTTGCTACCAATAATGTATGGCATAACCCTAATAATTAAGAGAGCTTTCACATGGGAGATGTTGAGTAAAGACGAATGGAGACCACCGGTGGTGCAAAACAATGAAGAAGGCTATCATGGTGTAGTGGTGAAAGGAAATAAGGGATTGATACTATAAACTTAAGTTGAAAATAAAAGTTTTATTTGGCTCACTTTGTAATAACGATCTTTTAGCAAGATGCAATCAAAGACATTATTATTAACCAAGGACCTTGTGGTTTTAGTGGTATCCAATTGCTCCCTTATGTGGGAGGTCTAGTATTTAAGTCTCGGTGTAAGTGTACCCATTCCTTTGTAAAAAAAAAAAAAAAAAACATTATAATTTTTTATTAATTTTTTTTCAACTTAGATTTATTTTTCTCAAATATCATTAAAAAGTTATAAATGGAATCTTTTAAATGACATTATAGGGGAGGGTTCACGTGAGAAACACCCCCCTCTCCCCACCCCACCCCTAATAAAAAGTGGGCAAGGCTTCACACTCTCCATCTTGAGAAATCAAAGAGTAAAATCTTACAACTTGATGGTTTTGTTGGAATTGGGTTCGCCATAAATCGGGTATAGAGGTACAGAACAGGGTAGGAAAATAGTAGCTATATCTCCGACCCAAAATAGTAAGTACAAAGCCCGAGACATTGGTCCAAAACGACCGCCCAAAAAATACATAAATAATAAAAGTTATAGCCCTAATAATGAAATAGGGCCCAAAATGGCAGTCCGAATAATAAATAATATAAAAATGTTACCGCTAGGAGTTTAACCCTAGTATAGCAGCAGAGGGGAGAAGACTCGGACCAATGAACCCGAAGTTTGGTGAGCCAATGGATGCCTTTTAAAGGGAGGGAATGGTACATATTTATATTGTTGAAGGACTCATGGATGGTTGACAAATGGACGACATGGGGCAACCTTCATTCTTTGTCACACACGTGTCCCCCACTACTTTGCTTCTAGCGTACTCCCATGCATAAGTGGAGCTTCCTGCCCTCTAATACACAAGATCTTGAGTGGCTTGGTGGCCTAGAACTTGTGTCATTATATTTAAGGTTGTGGTTATATTTAAGGTTGTGGGTTTAATACCCTTTAGTAACAATTCTTAATTATAATATTTTGCTCCAAGCATCATTCTTTCCTTAGCCCAATAGATTTTCATTATATTATTCTTATTGGGTCAACACCTCACCTATGAAGATGGACACCTCGTTTGGACGGTTGAGCCAAACATTCCCAATAAAATGGGCCTCCCGGGATCCCATGTCCCCATCATAACTCATGTCAATTTTAAATTGTTATACCATGGACTAGCTAGGTTGTACCTTGTATTATGGACCATAATTCAAAACAACATTTATATTATGTGTCTGTCGTTAACATATTATATGTCTTTCGTTAATAAATTATATACCTATTACAATTAACATATTATGTATTTTTATTTAACATAGTATATACATGCAGTTAATAAATTGTGTTTCTGCAATTAACATATTATATACATTTAATTTATTTATAGGTGTATAATATGTTAATTGAAATACATAATAAATTAACTGCAGACACATATAATTTGAATATAATTTTATATCAGAATCAACAATACAAATGAACTATGGTATGTGGTATAATTTGCGGTCTATTTTCGTTCCATGAATAGGCCAATCCATGTCATAGGAACATATGCCAATCGTTATGCTATGGACCCGTGTTCAGCATGTATTGTGGACACGGTAACGGTGCCGTTAGTGGCACCATTATTTTCCATTATTTTTATTTTTATTTTTAATTTTAGACCACTTTGTTATAGGAGCATATGTTTATAATTATATTACTATATGTTCATAATTGTAAGTTCATAATGTCAGAGCTCTGTGTTCATAATTTCATAACTGTACATTCATAATTCAATAACTGTAAATTCATAATTTTTGAAGCTCTATGTTCACAATTTTAGAGCTCTATGCTCACAATTTTAGAGCTCTATGTTTATAATTTTATCACTATATGTTCATAATTCTAAGTTCATAATGTCAGAGCTCTGTGTTCAAAATTCCATAACTTACATTCATAATTCTATAACTGTACATTCATAATGCTACAAACGAATAACGTCGTTAACAGCGAGACAAAATTAATATTTTTTTAACTAAAAAATCACATTTTTCTTAAAAACGATATCGTTTTGGACACATTGTGGACACGAGTCTACAGCATAATTTGCGAACATAGGCTACATGGGCTTGATGAACGTTAGTGTATCCCTAATCCATTCAACAAATTCTTTGCAGAGATGTAATAGACCTAGCCCACTGATAAATTGGTAACGCAAGGGAATTTATATTTTGGTAAAAATTTGTGTGAAATCGTCTCATAAATCATTGTTTGTGAAACATATCAGATTATCAGGTCAAAATCAAATGTAATATTAATAAGTAATAAAATATTTACTTAACAACATTAAATTTAAAAAAAAAAAAAAAAAAAAAAGACATGCAATGACATGTAATATTTATTATTTTAGTAAAGGAGTTAAGTTCCATTGACCATTGTTACTCCGTATTTGTTAGTGTGCATATTATGTAGTACTCCGTAATTAATAGAATAATAGGCGACCACAATGCATATTTTTAAATATGAAAAATTGAGTATCTTAGTTATTAAAATGAGTTCAGAAATAAAGTGTATGGGATAAAATATTTCCAAATTAATTGATTGGTCAAAAGTTTAAAAAAAAAAAAAAAGATAAAAAAAAATGACAATGCTGTAGTTTCTCTAAAAGCAATTTTAAAAAGTAAATACTACAAATTTCATATCAATAAACCACCACCACAAGATTTGTGATGAATGATTGGTAAGGATGTCATTTTCGAGGGACAAATGACAACTAACAAATATATTCTTCTCAAAAAAACCCTCATTTTAAGAGGTTGTCCCCACACTATTGCAGGTAAAATTTGATCCTTGGTCAACTGAGATGTGACCAACTCAGCTGTCATGCGAGTAACTAATATATTTAATATTATTTATTATTATATTTGAGATAATCAAACACATTCTATGCCATAAAAAAATACATGTATATATGTGTATAGCAGAAAAATCAGATATAAAAAATAAAAAATAAATAAAAAGAATTTGTATTGCAGATTCTGTACAATTAAACGTCTCCATGACTCATCTTAATTAGAGTTCTCAAGTTGAGAGCCGAGCCACCTTGAAATCCATAAACATGATTAGCCATGGCTCCATCTTAATACAGACAAACTATCAGAAAGAAGTAATAAACTGACCCTTCTATCTCCCTTCAATTGCAGAGAAAGTAATGTCATTACAAGAAGGCTTTTGCCCCTCCAGGTTTGATTCAACGTATGACTCCGTTAGAGTTGAGAAAGCAGGCCGTTTCGGTACCGGTAAACGACCACCTCTTTCATTGTTCACCATCGAAACCACGTCCGACGTTGTTGGCCTGTCTTTCGGTTTTTCTTGGATGCATAGGAGAGCCACATTAAGGCATAACTTGAGCTCATCCAGATTGAATGAGTCAGCCAATGTTGGATCCATGAATTCCACCCATCGCTCTTCTTTCCAGGTTTCCCATGCCTGAAAGCAACGTTAAAAACATGTTTTTAAGGAAAGTGATGCTCTACCTCAACTAAAAGTCTAAGCTGATAGTTGGACTCCACATTTATGTTTATATATGTATTATATGCTCAACAAGGAGAAAACATCATAGGTTTACTCACAAATCCCAGCAAGTTCAGAGAACCATTGGCCTCGTAAAATGTGGTGTTCCTCTTCCCACTAATGATCTCTAGTACAATAACCCCGAAGCTAAATATATCAGATTTCGTGGAGAATAGCCCGTGCACTGCATATTCGGGAGACATATAGCCACTATATCCAACATATTTAAGGATTATCAGTAAAAAAAATTGTTTAAGGAAGAATAAAACTATCAAAAATTGTTTACTTACTATGTTCCTGCAATCCTTTTGGTTTTTGTTGGAATGCTCTCATCAACGATTCTTGCCATGCCAAAATCAGATATTTTCGGGTTGAAATAAGTATCTAATAATATGTTGCTCGTTTTCAAGTCTCGATGGATAATTCTTAATCTGGAATACTTGTGAAGATAAAGGAGACCTTGAGCAATCCCTTCGATTATGTGCAGCCGCTTTCTCCAGTCTAGCATCACACTCTTTGTTTCATCTGCAGAAGAAGTTGTGAGCAAAAAGGTCTTATGATACTATACAAAAAATGCATTTCCAGAGTTCCAGACCATATAAATATGTAGCAGATCGATGTAATATGAACACGAACCGAAAAGAATTGAATCCAAACTTCTGTTTTGCAGGTACTCATAGAGTACTATCTTCTCCGCTTGTTCAGTGCAGTATCCCAAAAGCCTCACAAGATTGCTATGCTGCAGCATGGAAATTACTCTAACCTCATTTCTGAATTCCTCTAGTCCTTGTCCAGACAGTCTTGATAGCCTCTTCACTGCAATCTCATGTCCCAGTAATTTACCCTGAAATCATAGTTTCAACTTTCAAGTTGTTTGCAAGAGCTCATAAGTCATAAACAAAAACCCAATCTCTGGTCTAAGATAATACGGGGAGCTAAGTGTTGAGCATATATAATATATAAACATAACTATACAGTCCAATTATCGGTTTCGACTTTTAGTTGAGACAAAGCATATTCTTCAATTTGGTAATAGAGCTGACCTCATGCAAGAGGTCATGGTTCAAATCTCTGTGCCACCAGATAAAAAAGAGAGTAAGGTCCACGTGTCGCTTAGAGCCCATCAAAAAGTAATTGGCTCACACACGTGAGGGGGCGTGCTGAACATATAATATATATATATATATATATATAAACATAAATGTGCAATCTAACTATCAGCTTAGATTTTTAGTTGAGACGGAACACATCCTTCACTTCTAAGCGTAGCAGAGATGTTTGTAATCTACGTACCTTGTACACGGGACCAAAACCGCCTTCCCCAATCTTGTTTTCTGCGGAGAAATTGCCAGTGGCATCTACAATGCAAGAAAAGCTCACTAGAGGCAATTCACAACCATTCCACTTGCCTTGTTCAACAGCATCTGCACTATTTTCTGTATCAACTGCTGCTACATTAGTACCAAACTGAAACAATAGCAGCGATGCACTGTCTCTTATGTCATCTCCTTCCCTGGTGATTCCTGTTCCGCACAATCAAGTCGACTAAATAATGTTCATTCGATGAAAAATGGCATAAAATATAAAGGGATTTACCTATATGGTTGACCTTTTTGTATCCAAGATAACACCATACTGAGCTGAGAACTAGTGGTACTAAAACAACCAAAGTTGATATGATAATAGCCAATTTCCATTTCCTTTGAATCCCTAGGAGAGTTGGGTGGAACATTTAATCAGTAATACAGAAAATAACATTATAATATCAAGTCTTTTACAGTAAGCTAGCCTCACCTGAACTTTTAGGAACGTCCCCTCGGACATAAAGGATGCTGTTGCCTCCACCGATGCTTTTTAGCAGATCTTGTTTGTCACCATAGTAAAGCTGGCATCCAGTTCCATCGTCCTGAAACGATGCAAAAGCGGAACAAGAACAGTTGATTAGGCACATCATTTCGCAGTCGCTGGGACCTACACCAGTGGATCCAGAAACAACCATTGAGACGGGTATAGAGCCTTTGATCTCCGAGAAATTATTGTTACCACCACACATGTTTGGCAATGGAACCAAACACCCTTTGGTTTCAGGAGCCTCCCTGTTGTTGCAAAGGGTGTAATTCACAATTTCCACCCCTCCATCCAACATCGTAAACTCATTGATTTCCCCGCTTGATGTCAGAACAAACCAAGACATGCTTTTCCCTTCGTTCGTGTTAAATGTAAGGTAAATCTCCTTCTTGTTTGACACAAAGGTGAAGCTGTAGCTGTCTGATACTCTCTGGAAGAAGAATCTGAAACTGTGACCATCCCAGAAACCGATCTCCTGAGACATACTGCTCCGACGCCAAACTTTGAAAATTGATTTGTTGTGTGAATCAAGGCCTAAAGCAAAAGGGCCACTGGCAGGAACAGAAGGAGTCAACCATGATAAAAGAAATGACTTTCTTGTTTGGTTTGTATCGATGCCTAACCATCCCAGCTTCATGCCTGGCAAAAAGGTATCAGAGGGGTAATCAAAACTCTGCCATAGAACCTTCTCCCCTTCATAAAGAACAAAGTTTCCAGAATCAACAAGCGTCGCCCTTGTGTTCCCACCCGTTGCCAACATTTCAGAGTTTACTACTATATTAGGATAAATCCTAACATCAGAGATCACCAGGTTCCCATCATACCTTATTGTCAAATTTCCAGTCTCGCCATAAACTGGATTGTCCCGGTTCGCTACCCAAAATGCCTTCTTATGAACATCTTTCTTGAGCCAAGTTCCCAAATAGTGGTTCCCTCCAGGATCACCTGTACCAAAAAATCCTAATTCAAAGATTCCATTTGCAGAAACTAAGGTTTCACCATTCTGCAAGGTTTGGCCTTCTCTAAGGGTGTCAAAAGCATGACAAAAGAACACAAAATTGCAACAATATGTCAGACAAGAAACAACAGAGGGGACACATATTCTTGTTCTCATCTGGGCCCACAAGTTTTTGCTGCAAACAAAAGTTAAGGCTCTTGTATAGTTGTATGTACAAGGAACAACAGCAATATATAAAGCAGCAAAGAAGCCACCAAAGATAAATGAAAAGGTCAGAGCGGAGATTTTAAACGATTTTATTGCTTTGTTAAATTTGAATTTTGCTTTACCATTCTTGAAATGTCAGGTTTTTAGTAAACAAAACAAAAGAATAAAAGTATTCTTGTGTCAATCCAGAAAACCATAAAATTGACAGCACTGATGGATGTTTGGTCTCAGACATTCTTGGCAGAAATATGGTATGAATGTGAAAAGAGATAAAATGAAGGAAAAACAAAAAGCAAATAAACACAAAAAAGAGTTCATTGACAAAGAACTAAAGAAAATGAATTGTTTGATGAGTAGAGCAACACCTCCTCCTAATTTACTAAAAAAAAAAAAAAAAAGTTGAACAATTTGTTGTCAAGGTTAAGATGCAGAAGTTTGGAAAAGTTTACCAATTAAAAACTCTCCTTTTTTTTTTTTTTTTTTTTTTTTTTTTTTTTTGTGTTTTTCCATCCTGTTGTTATTTTCAATAAGGCTGACTTCAAGAAATTTCCTTTGAAGCATCAGCTTCCCATAATTTCCTTTTCATTTGTGCAGCCATTGTTATGATGAGTATAAATGTGAACAGAATTATCTAATTGAAAGGTCAAACAATACTACTTTGATTGTGAAACTACTGTGAAAGAAGTCAAAAAATGGTAAACTTTCTTGATCAACAAGAGATTCCATTTGATTGGATATTGGGAGGTTAAATTGTTAAACCATTTCCCATATCATATTTCTTTTCGGCGTTCTTCTCCTGTCTAGAAATCCTTTGACTGCACAAAAACAACCAGGTGGAAGGGAAAAGAAGGAATTTTTAAAATCCTAATTGTTTCTCTGATTATGAAAGGCTCCTCACATCATAACTAAAGTATCTAGTATCTATCCAGGCACTTTTATGCCTCCATGATCATGAGAAATTTGGGATGTTCTTGGGAAGAAGGATAAATGCCAACATTCTGTGACTCAAAAATTTGCAAAAGAAAAATAAAGAAAAATAGATTCCAAACTCATACAAAGTTATAGAGCTGTTTTGTACTTGTGCAAGAAGGATCACAAAGGAACAGCTACCGCACAAGATTGCAAAAGAAATCGTAACTGTATTGGCAACTTAAACATACATGTACACAACATTAGACAGAATTGTGCTCACAAAACTATAATGTGTCCAAGTTAATCATCTTCCAAATGCGGTTACAAGTTTCAAACTCGGACATATCTTTTGGGTCAAAGTCAAAATCTTCAACCACATTTTTATCTCTCTGAACTTTATCTGTGTTGAGTGAAGGACTATCCAGTTGCAGCAGATGGCGAACAGTTCTAACGAGAACAGCCACATGGCAAGAAATAAAGGAAAAATAGATTAAACATTAATTTTTCAATAAGGATACAGCCCGATATTTTTGATTGATCATCCAAGCTTGGGATAATATTCGTAACTGAAGCAAACAATGATAACCTCATCCTGCAAAATCAGAACAAAAGGGTTATTATTATTACTTAATGGAGAGGAGGGTGGGTTCTGCAAGCAATTAGTGGCAAAAGATAAAATATGATATCTCACATCAAAATCATTATTTCAGATTATTGCATAGTATGAAAAATTCAATTTGGAATAATATATAAATCTAAAGAAGTGCATGTGATAGCAGAGCAATTGGTTTGCATCATAAAGCATTGCATCCATAGTAACCCGTTATTCATATAATTTGCAATTTTACGTATGACATCACACTTATGAAACTTTTAAAGTAGGCAGAAACCAATGTGGCTGATATATTGATAGCTGAAATATATTGAGATGAGCTTACTCTGCTCTTGAGTCATCTCGCTCAAGTTGCTTAAGGGATTTTCCTTGTTCCTCAATGGAGAATCTTTGATGCTCTAAATCATTCATTTCTTCTGCAATAACCGTGATGACATTACAAATATACAAACCACCGATCAATAACACAAACAAAAGTTTCTAAGATATCAAAAGCCAGCAAACATAGGGCTGTCAAAATACTCATCTCAGCTCTTCTCTTAACAGGCTCTCTCTTTGAAGCTCCTCTTCAAGATCTTTCTGTAGTGATTCTATTTCAGCATCAGTTGAAGCTTCAGATTTTGCTTCCAGGGTTTTACGTTTGCACATATCTACCTTCTTTTCATAATCTAAAGCACATTACGCACAAAAATCAACACAACACATTTTTAACATCAGAGCAAATTGGCAAGCTGAAATCCTCAAAATCAAAATAATTTACCTATGAAACTCACTACACAGCCAAACCAGTAAATATACAGTCTTCAAATTAAGCAAGATATTTTTTTACGAAAACCATGAACACTAACAGAAAAGGAAAGTAGAAAATTTCTACATTCTAATAAGCATCACCCGAATAGCGGCTTCAACAAATTAGCTCCATTGACCCTTCTTCCCTCCAAGTTTCAATTATTTGCCCCTTCCCAAAGGGAAGTGAGAAATTGAATTATTAACCAGAGTAACTGCGCATCTAATTTCATCCATTTCATACAAATTACTTGTTATCTCAAGTAACAATTGGAATTTAACAATACTGAACTACATAAAAACGGTATCTTTATACAAGTAAAGCCAAAAAAGAGAGAAGATTTACTAATTACCTTCGATGGACCTCTGGGTGTTGTTAAAATCAGTATTGCACTGAGATTGAAGGGAGTTAGATTGCTCCAATAGCTGCTTCAAAGAATTGACATCTTCGCCATCCTTCAAGACCTCAACGAGGTCGTTGCTCCACAACATGAGCTTCTCTACGTCGAAATTCTTCAACCCATCCCCCATTTTGTAGACTAAATCGAAGAACCCTAGGGTTTCGGCTTTTCCTCGTACAGCTGCAAGACTAGCGTAGGTTTCTTGAACAAAACTGCCACTGGAATTGCCAAGTTTTATCCGAAGGAATTTGAGATCTGATATGTATTTGTATAAATAAATGCAAGTGTGGGTTTAAGGCTTTGAGCGAATTAAGGAATGTGGGGAAGCGGGAAAGAGAATCAATTTGAAGTGAATGGAAATTCTTAAGAGAGATTCAATTGATTGTATCTAATAGCTGTAAATGAGTGAATTATAGCTCGAAATCGGGTTGGTTCAAGCTCCAGTGGACTAGTTCGATAAATATATGGTGGTTCAAATTCGGGTTTGATTAAACTTATGCAAATCCTAGTAAATGATATCAAGAATGTCCATGATACCGAGTAGATGTATATATAAAAAATAATAATTACTTTTACATTTTTTTTTTGAAAATTATATGTTGAGATGTGATTCAAAATTATTATTTTTGGATTGTTAGACAAATAGTTACTATGAAGCTTTTAGGTGGATTGATATAGATGTTTTCAAGCACATTGTGTAAGGTCACTAAAGGACTACTAAAGCATTTTGACAAAAATGACAATGAATTTGAATGTTAAAACTTGAAGTTGAAAAACAAAAATAAAAAAATAACAGATCAAGAGCAAAAAAAACACAATCTTAAGTTGATGAAGATAAAGGCTTGTTGATAAAATGATTGTTAGCTGTTAGCTGATTGTGTTAATTAGATGGAATAAATAGTTGCTAATATTAGCTGCTTGTAGAAAAGTGTTTGGTAAATTAACTGTTAGCTGATAGTTGTTTGGTATAATTTCTTTTCTAAAAAAGCTAATTAAAAATGTTGATTGGAGTAACTTTTTGAATTTTAGCCTTTTGAAGTTGCAAAAAGCTAATTAACCAAATATTTATATTGATATTTTAACTAAATCAAACAATTAATAATGGTCAAATAAGTCAAAATTGACCTATAGGTCAAATTTCTACCAAATTGGGCCAAAGCTTTGGGAGAATAGTGAAAGTCATAGGAAGTTGCATTTCTATTATGGCTTGGATGTGGTTTCATTGTGGCAATGATTATCTCACATGTAGGAAGTGATAGTAATGATGGTGGATTATTATATTGCAGTTGAATTGAATAATAATGGTTACTAGTATGAGAGTAATTCACATTTTTTAAATGTGGTAACTAGTATCTCTATATATAATAAAGCAGATTAAGTTGAAATTTTTTTTCCTCCATTTGGTACATTTGAGAGTTATGGAATATCAAGGGTTTAGGAACTTCTCAACTTCATAATCATCTTAAATAATTAATTAAATAAAGATGAAAGAAAATAAAAGTGAATAATAATAAAAAAGAGTTTATTATAATAGAGAATAATTCACAAAATTAATTTGAGTAATAATTGTTGATCCATAATTGAAAATTAATATTGCAATAATTATATTATGTTTCTAAGAGCATCCCCATTAAGGGGATTGTTAGTAGAATTCAGGGGAAAATTTTTTCCCTCCATTTGGTGCATTTCAGAGTTAAGGAACATCAAGGGTTTAGGAACTTCATAATCATCATAAATAATTAAATAAAGATGAAAGAAAATTAAAGTGAATAATAATAATCCAGGGTATTTTGTCTTTTTATGTCTTTTTAATATTTCCGTCAAGAGGACGTATAATCAAATTAAAGGGTATTTTGTCATTTTATGTTTGCCTCTTCTCTTTTAATCCAGGCGCTTCGTCCTCCTCCTCCGATATTCGAAGATGGCTCTTCGAACAACGAGAATGGGAAGCCAAAGCTACATTGTTTCGTTCGTTCCAACATGGGCCGACGAGGTTTCTTAGGTTTTCAGTTTAATGTTCTCATTTCTTTAGTCAAACATAGTCTGGACGAGAAGAAATGTCAAAATACCCCTAGATTACACGGCCTCTTGATGGAAATACTAACGGTGGGACTAAAAGCGAAACACATTCAATAATAGTGGTTATAAAGTGACAAAAAAAAAAATTAAAGTGGACTAAAATTGAAAACACCCCTATAACAGTAGGACCAAAAATGGAATTCACTCAGAAAAGTAGAACATGAAGTCTTTTTTTTTATTAGAAAAAAAAAAGGGGAACACCTACATATACTATCTAAGCCTTCACCAAGGGGCCAATCGAATACCAGTGGACTACAAGCCACTTGGTACATGAAGTCTTATTTATTACTCTGTACTAAGTATCTCACAATGGCCAGGCTGTACATGCATGCTGACAGTTGAACCCTAGTTATCCGTAGAAAGTAGAGACCAAAAGCCACCAAGCTAATATAAGTAGCAATCAAATAGTGATGTCGAAGAGGCAATAGTTATAGGAAAATATTATATGTACTCTTATTCTCAACTTTCACACTTAAAATTTTGATGTACACACATTTACAGGAGTCTGCATGAAGAAAATAACATATCAATACCCGCCACATCAGAAAATAAATTTGAGGAAGTAAGATTTGAAAGTACATATAGTAGGATTCATAATTATACCATGGATCCGCAAGGTGGACCCGGATCCAAAATATACAAATTACATATTGAATATTCACAATTTACATACACAATGTATATTACATACTTAATGTTCACAATTTTCCTTTTACAAAATTGTGAACTTTTAGGGGGTGTTTGGTTGGATGGAAAACATTTTCCATGGAAAATGTTTTCCTAAAAGTGAAGGAAAATGATGTTTTATGTTGTTTGGTTGGATGGAAAACATTTTTCATTGGAAAAAGTTTTCCTTGAGAATGAGGAAAAAAATTCGTAGCTCATCCTAGGTATTTTGTTTTTCATGGAAAAGGTTTTCCATGGAAAACCAATATTACAATTTTAGCCTCACCATTATTTATTAATTACTCTTATTATTATAGTATTATTGTTGTGTAGGGTTATATTTGTCATTATACACATTATTCCTTACCATTCAAAACTCAACCAAACAATGGAATTCATATTCCCAGTAATTTCTTTTCCACCAACCAAACAATGGAATCTATTTTCTTAGAATTTATTTTTCATGGAGTTTCAATTCCATTTTCCTTCAAATATTTTCCAGCAAACCAAACAAGGTGTTAGTATATAAATTGTGTATTTTAGACCCCGAGTCCACATAATAATTTGCCTCCAGGAAGGAGGTAAGACTACCTATTTTACTATTTATAGCATAAAAGACTACCTATTTTACTATACTAAGTATATCCACACATCCCTTCTCCCTCCCTTCTTCCCACGCACACACGTTGCCTCCTTCGCATGCCTTCATCGCTACTTTACCCCATGCCGCCATACCCCTTCACCACCACCCCCTCCGCGGTGGGGTGCCAATGTCCCGCCGGGGGGCGTGCCACCCTGCCAACCATGCCATGGCCAAGGGAGGCCAACAAATCTTTACGTCAGTCGAACGCTAAAAATGTAATTAGTTTATTGTAACTCCTACTCTTTGCGTATTCCTTTTCCTTTTTCTCTTTCGCGTATATAGCATTAGTTCCCTCCAACTCCCCATAACCCTCTGCGTAATTGAAATAGTTGTAATTGTAATTTATTTCGTAATATGTTTAATAAAAAAACTTTTGTTACCTTTAATTTTACACATTTAGTAATTGTAATTGTATATTGATTTTTTTATTTAAAAATTAAATTTGTAAAATAAAATTAGAAAAGTAGAGAAATGAAAAGCTGAAAAATTAAAAAAATGAAAAACAGAGAAATGAAATAACGATGAAATTGGTTTCAAATTAAAGTAGTGTAAGAACAAATATGTCGACGACTGACCTTCTGATTGCGTATCTGGTAAGTGAAATCGATTTTAATAAATTAGAAAAGAAATAAAACGTAGATTGAGGAACAAAAATCAATCAACCTTCTGATGGCTGAACGCGTTTTGTTTTGCACAATATTGTACTCACACGTATGACACGATTTAGTTGTTTTAAAAACACGATTTAGTTGTTTTGAAAACACGATTTAGTTGTTTTGAAAACACGATTTAGTTGCCCACAATGGAGACACCACAAATTTTTAGTCAATGTCGTTTTATGGATTGTTGAACGAATTAATGACTTCCAATTTCCAAACAAAACAATATGATATAGCACCATCATGTTTGTGTGATAGAGACATAACACGTCATTGGTCATATTCAAACCATGTTGACAAAGTTTTATTTTTCTTTTGTATTGGAAATGACCCAATAATAATAGAGACCCGGGCCAGGAATGTATAACCCGAGCAGTCCAAGAAGAGTCTCAAGCTCGGAGCTTACCTTCGGGCCCAGAATGATGGGTCTTGACTTAGTCTCACGGCCCAACACATGAGCTTGGATTTAGTCCCGTGGCGCTCCACGAATTTAGCCGTAATTAGGTGAAATTTTCTTTGCATAGATAGCCTAGTAATTGTTTTGTTAAAGGCATGTTCTATCTTTTGTTCTAGACACTTTCTTGCCTTGCTATTACACGTTTCATACCTCTGTAATAGCGTTACATAGTCAATTAATACAATATCAGTCCCCGTGACTATATTCGTACCCCTATTATCGTTTTAATCCAATACTTGTTACATTTATTTATTCATTTGGGTTAATAAATCCGGACCCCCGGTTTAATTAATTCCATAAATAACAATTTTTGGTGTAAACGAAAAAATTTGCATGTTTACACTGAGAGTTCTGTACAAATTAAAATATATGAATGTGGATCAAATGTGGGCAGGGGCGGAGCCAAAAAAAATTCTCCAGTAAGAGCGAAAGATTAAAACAAATGAGAAAAAAAAATCAATAATCATGCAAAGTGGCTTCGATATCTTGACCTCAATTACAACACATACATTTTTTTTTTTTGAATACTATCGACTCTATTACAGTCAAAGCTAATTCACCTTTAAATAATTTATATCTATATAAATTACTTATATGCAAACATATATATATATATATATATATATATATATATATATATATATATATAAGGGGTGAGTTGCGTTCGGGGAGGAGGGGCAATGATACTGGATCCTCCCTTGAATGTGGGTACAATATGGCAATATTTAATTATCAAGTTTGATTTAAATTTAAATATCTTATAAACATGTTGTCACTTGTCCAATACAATTATTTTATCAAGTTTGATTTAAATTTAAATATCTTATAAACATGTTGTCACTTGTCAAATACAATTATTTGATAATTTGTCAAAGGTCTTATGGTTATAGCTGTGGCCTCTCAAATAAGAAGTCTCACGTTTAAACTTCAGTGTAGAGTATTGACTCTTTATGTTCCAGTAGGTTTAGAAAGTATGTATACCAGATATCTACAATTATCTACAATTATAATAAGAGCCAATAATGTTAGGCCCTTAACTGGAACAAAAAAATGTCGGTACTATTGTTTCTTAAAATGAATGGTAGATATTATTTTGATTTTAGTAATTTTTAATGATTTTCCTTATTTATCCTCTGTTATATTATTTTCTTCCCTAAAATAACCCTAAATTCCGTTAGTATAAACTTTAGTAACGGAATATTCCGTTAACTATTTATTATTCTTATCATTAATTTATATAAGAAAAGTCTTAGTTTCGAATCGCATCCCAATTAGAGTTGGCATAATTGTTAAACATATATTATGAATATGTTAAAATATATTAAAAATATATATAATATAAAATTTAACATAAACTTTGGTCAAATAATTAGGTAACTAAATACATAGCATTCAAAGTTGAGCATCAAAGATTATAAATCAGTAACTTTAAAAATCATTTGATTTTCTTGATTTTATTTTCAAAAAAAAAAAAAAAATAGGTTAAGTTTTTTTTTTTTTTTTTTTTTTTTAGTGTTCAATTAATCTTCTTTTGATTATTTAGAACAAACTTAATATTTCAATTATGCTTTTGCATTATTGGAATGATTTAGGTCATTACGGTATTAATATTTTTTATATTTTTTATAATGGTATAATTGTACATTAATTTACAAATATTATGCTATTATTTTTTTTATCGGACAAAATTGTTCTTACATCATTGTCCATATTACAACTAAAATCTCAGTCGTATACGCATCAATGCAAATCTAAAGCTTCCTACACCATAATCTCATTGCATGATGAATCCCTCTATGATGCCACCAGTAACCTAATGGCACATGACACACTACCAAAAAAAAAAAAAAAACGTCATGTACTGACGATGAAAACAATGACAATGCTACCCAAAAGAGAATTACAAGGGATTAGAGGATTTAATAGTATTTGTTTAGACTATCGCTTTAAGACTAAGTATTTAGACTAGAGTTATTACAAAGTTACAAACATTTATTTTAATGACAATTATTATAATCTCTCATATATATATTATCTTCAATGTATATACTTTAAATTACCGATTTAAATAAACAAATTCAACATTTATTTACATATGCATAAACATCTCCTATATAATATTGCATTGATATACTTTAAAATATTTATTTTAAAATAATTATTGGGCATTATCCATTTGCGCAAAGCGCGTAAAAAACTAGTTTAAATATAAAAATTGATTTGAATAACATAATCTGTTTGGGAAATCCTAATGGACCAAAGAGAAAAGCCCAATTGAACACCACGCCCATTTATATAATGTGACAGTTTCTATTCTTTCCTCAACAAGTTTAAGGCCTCACCCATTCAATTAAATTCACCGCACATATTTTTTTTGGACAAATTATATCGTGCACCAAGATGCACAATGTATTATGTGTCCTGCCCAAAAACGATGTTGTTTTTGTATCTATTTTTTTATTAGGAAATTTCGTTTCCTGTTTACAATTAAATCAATATGTAGCTGCCAAGCACTTTGTGCTCAGATGACATGTAGTGACTTCACCCATGTGGAAGGTTATGATATGAAATATTGTTGACTCTATGTGCTTCATTAGGTTGACAAAATATGTTTGAACAGATACTACAATGTGCTAGAGTCAGTAACATTCAAATATATATATATATATATATATATATATATATATATATATATATATTAATAATAATAATAATAATAATTTGACAATTTATAAAATTTACGTAATAAAATTTATTCTATCTATATATTAAAATTTTAATTATAATTAGAATAAATTGTAAAAGGAAATCAATTTCTAATTTCAATACTAAAATTTTTTACTAAGATGAGGGGAAAAAATCATTTCTTTAAAAGATAGTTTCTTAAAGAATTTTTCCTCCGTATGGGAGGGTGTCACTGTGTCAGGGAGGAAATTTAGTAGCAGAAAAATTAAGAATGATAAGAAGCATTGCAAAATTTAAGAATGAGAACGTAATGGAAAGAAATATCTTTATTTGACAAACAAAATTTAAGAATGTGTGACTCTCTCCCTCTCTGTCAGGGATTCTCTCTAATTCTCTCCCGTAATTAGGGTTTTGCTTTTCTCGCCGTGGTGAACCGAAGCAGTTCGATGACTGTTCAACGTAAAAATAGTTCGGACGACGGCCTCCAACAGCTGCATGCATGGCTGCGTCTGAAGCAACGATCGCTGGATTATCGGACCGATGGGCGGAGATTGTTTTTGAAGACGAGGACGCCGGTGTGGAAGCGCCGGCGGTCGACGATGGCGCAGCGACGGTGGCGGAATCATGGATGTTAGTCGGACGGTTCCTGACTCAATGTTTGATCAAAGTTGAGTATATGCGACAGGTTATGGCATCGGCATGGAAACCGGTAAGTGGTGTGCATATCACGGAACTCCAACCGAACCTTTTTCAATTTGTATTCCATCACATAACGGATGTACAGAGGGTTATGGAAGAGGGACCGTGGTCCTTTGAGAATTGTACGCTGCTGTGTAAGGAGGTGAAGGATGGTCAGTTGCCGGAGGATATGGTATTGGATACTGTGGATTTATGGGTGCATGTGTACAATCTGCCAGTTGGTTATAATACGGTACCGGTCCTTGAACAGCCAGGGAACTTTCTGGGGAAATTCTTAAAGATTGATGAAAGACAGATGAAAGGGCCTCTCAAAGCTTTCTACCGAATTAGGGTTTGTATGCCTGTGGACAAACCCCTGAAGAGAAGGATGAAATTGATTCACCGTGACAAGTCTTGGGGATGGGTGAATTTCAAATACGAGAGACTACATACCTTTTGCTTTTTCTGTGGACTTTTGGGGCATTCGGAAAAGTTCTGTTTGAAAGCTAGAAATTCGACTATGACTCCTGAGCAGTATCCGTATGGTGTATGGATGCGGGCTGGTCAGACACGAGGACCACGGCTAGTCGGTGAGCCCTGGTTGCTAAATGCGGATGATCCACCGATCCGCCTGGAACCCGTGGGCGAGGCACCGGAAAATCCGGCAGTAGAGGAGCAGGGCCGAACGGAGTAGGAGGAGGAGGGGGTAACGGCGTTGGCTAAGCGTCGCAGGCAGGATAATAGACAATTGACTGATACAGATATTAACATGGCAGATAGCTCAAAAAACTTGCATCAGGCGGGCTCTGGTTCCCAGACCCGCCCACAACAATGAGTACTCTGAGTTGGAACTGTCGTGGCTTGGGCAATCCACGGACAGTTCGTGCAGTTGTGGACATGGTGTCCAAGAAGAAGCCTGATTTTGTGTTTTTGATGGAAACGAAAGTGGCACGAATACATGCAGAACGTGTTCGTGTTAAGATTGGTTACGAGGGTCTTTTTTATGTTAATAATACTGGCCGTAGTGGTGGTTTAGCATTGCTATGGAAGAAGAATAATACTGCAAGATTACTGGGTTACTCGAAAACGCACATTGATGTGGAGGTTGGTATAAGTGGCTTTCCAAATTGGAGAATGACTTGTTATTATGGCTATCCGGAACGAACACGGAGGACTGAGTCATGGGATCTATTGAAACAGTTGGCAACACAATCTAACCTACCCTGGGTTGTGATTGGCGACTTTAATGATCTCCTATATCAGTATGAGAAGAAGGGTGGAAATCCACACCCGAACAGGCTCTTACGCGGCTTTGGAGAGACTATTGATCAGTGTGGTTTGGCACAACTACCAATGAGTGGTAATCAGTTCACATGGCAAACGGGCAAAGGCACTCCTGGATGGATTCAGGAAAAACTTGATAAGGTACTAGTCACTAACCGCTGGAGGGATATTGTAAATGGGGTCACGGTTGCAAATCAATGGACTAGACGGTCAGATCACTCAGCTATTTTCATGGGGATTCGACAATATGGGAATAGGAGGGGTGGGGGCCGAAGATTTCGTTTTGAGATGGCATGGCTCTATGATGAGGGATGTAGAGCGGTAGTTGCTGAATTATGGGAGGAAGGAAGGGATAGGGGAACACAAGGTTGTATTGCACACTATGGGAACCGGTTAACCCGATGGGGGGGAGACCGTTACCATAAGTTCGGGGAAAAGATTGAGAAGCTCCGGAAGAGACAAGATCAACTTAAGGGATGTACTGATCATGCATCCCTGGATGAGTATAACCGCCTGGAAACGGACCTATGCCGAGTGGAGATGCAGGAGGATGCATACTGGAAGCAGAGGGCCAAGCAGCACTGGCTCAAGGATGCTGATGCCAACACGAAATTTTATCACAGGTATGCCTCGAACCGAAGGAATAAGAATACTTTAATTAAAATTATTGATAGTCGTGGTGAATGGATGGAAGGGGATGATATGACGGGTGTGGTTCTGGATTATTTTAAACACATTTTTACAACTAGTAATCCCATGAGCGGTGATCTGATCTATAACAATATTACGCCACGAGTCACTCAGGCACAGAATGAGTTGTTGGTACGGCCCTTTGAGGTTGGTGAGGTGAAAGATGCTCTATTTGAAATGTATCCTGATAAGGCACCAGGGCCGGATGGGATGAACCCGGGTTTTTACCAGAATTTTTGGGATATTGTGGGGGGTGATATTTCGACTTTTATTGTAGGTTGTCTGAATGCAGGCTCATTGCCACCTGGTTTGAATAATACTGATGTTGTCTTAATTCCTAAGAAGGATGTTCCTGAACGGGTCACTGATTTGAGACCAATTGCCCTTAGTAATGTGATTTATAGAATTATGGCCAAAATGATAACCCGGAGGATGAAACCCCTAATGAATAGTATCATATCTGAATCCCAGAGTGCTTTTATACCAGGCAGGTTAATAACGGATAATATTTTGATTGCCTCAGAGGTAGGCCATTATTTGAACAGGAAACAATGTGGAATGGTTGGTTGGAGTGCCTTAAAATTAGATATGGCGAAAGCCTATGATCGAATGGAATGACCTTTTTTGAAAGGTATGATGATAGCCCTCAGATTTAATGATAGGTGGATTGATCTAATTATGATGTGTGTTACGACGGTATCCTATAATTTTCTGGTGAACGGGGCACGGAGTGAATCACTAATACCAACCAGGGGTTTAAGACAGGGTGATCCATTTATCTCCGTATCTTTTTATAATTTGTGCTGAAGGACTCTCTATATTGCTACAACAAGCACAAGGAAGGGGTTTGATACATGGATGTAGGGTAGCGAGAGGTGCTCCGCCTATCTCACATCTGTTCTTTGCTGATGATAGCTTATTATTTTTTAAAGCAACTGTGCAGGAGGCAAATGAAGTTAAAGGATGTCTGGCTCTATATGAAAGTCTGTCTGGGCAAGTTGTTAATTATCATAAGTCCAGTATATGTTATAGTAAGAATACAACAGAGGAGGTAAAGGAAAATGTGGCGCAAGTATTGGGTGTGGTTCAGGCTCCTAACTTTGGGAAGTATCTTGGACTGCCATCATTCATTGGAAGAAATAAGAAAGCGGCATTTGCTTATATAGAGGACAAGATCAGACAGAGAATAGGATCTTGGAACAAGAAACTTTTATCACAGGCGGGAAAAGAAATCTTATTGAAAAGTGTGGCTCAGGCTACGCCTACCTTCTCAATGAGTGTATTCTTGTTGCCTGCTAATATCTGTATGGCTATTGAGCGGTTGATGAATAGGTATTGGTGGGGCTCAGGGACTGACCAGAGAATCCATTGGAAAGCCTGGGATAGGTTATGTATTCCAAAGAAGTATGGTGGATTGGGTTTTAAAGACCTAAGAGCTTTCAATGTGGCATTGTTGGGAAAGCAAGCTTGGAGACTATTGACCAATACAGATTCTTTGGTCTCAAAAGTTTATAAGGCAAGATATTATCCCAACCAACCTTTTACTGATGCGATTCTTGGGAACAATCCAAGTCACTGTTGGAGGAGCATTATGGCAGCAAAGGGTTTAATTTGTAGTGGGGTCAGAAAACGAATTGGGAATGGAGATTCTACCTAAGTGTGGGGACACCCGTGGTTGCAGGATGAAGATGACCCTATGATCCAAACAGAAATGCCACCCCAACTGAGTAATGCCAGGGTAATCAATTTAATTAGCCAAGATACAGGCACTTGGGATTATGATTTACTTACTGATATTTTTGACCCCGGGGATGTGAGTAGGATTTTAAAAATACCGGTCTCCCCAGCCTATGATGATATGTGGTATTGGCATGGGGACCCCAAGGGCAATTATACGGTTAAACATGGGTATAGGTGTATGATGGGGAACTATGAGAATATGGCTAATGTGGGATTTATGAAGTGGCTCACATTGTGGAAACAAAAAATACCACCCAAGTGGAAAATCTTACTATGGAGGGCTTTGAGTGATATTCTCACTACTACCCAAAACTTGCTTATAAGAAGAGTGGAGATTGATCCGGTGTGTGCCATGTGTGGAGTTGCAAATGAAGATATTATGCATGCATTGGTTTCGTGTGATTACACAAAGACCATTTGGGCACTATCTAACCTTCCATCTACAAATATTGTGACAAATATTTTTTATGAATGGTTTAGTGAAATATTAAATATTCTAGATTCTGATGGTATTGCCTACGCAGCTGCAATTATTTATCATATATGGAGAGCTCGGAATGGTGCGGTTTGGGATGCATGTTTGCCCAGACCACGACGAGTGCTCGCCACGGCCCTGGCCGATATTGCTGCATGGCGTCGGGTTCATGTGCAAGGAGGAAACCCGAGCCCCGTGACTGCCAGCGCCTTAGCGCACCCCACTGCTCACGAAGCCGGAACCAATGCACACCACACTGCCGCGATCACCCACGCTCCGACGCAACCGCCACCATCCAAGTGTTATATCGATGCTGGATATCATCACACGGACAACACAGCAACAGTAGGTGTGGTAATATTGGAACCGGGTGGTCGATTTGTCTCAGCGTACTCCGCACCTTTGCCACATTGTTTTTCCCCACTCATGGCCGAGGCATATGCTTTTAAAGAGGCTCTATCTTGGCTACACGAGCGTGGAGAGCAAAATATAGAGCTTTATACAGATTGCCAGGTACTGCAGAATTACTTAACGCGCGTCGCCACAGCTGCTCACACGATCGTATGTTGGCTATGCAATTGATGAATGCAGGAATTATTTAGCAACTATTAATTATTGTCGAGTTAATTTTTTACCTAGATCGCAGAATATTTTAGCACATAGTTTAGCTACTACAGCTTTCCAGTATGACACAGCTATGTATTGGGATACTATCTCACCTGACGCTATTTCAGCTTATCTATGAATACAACCCATTGGTTGACCTTCAAAAAATTTAAGAATGTGTAATGGAAATAAATATCTTTATTTGACAAACAAAACTAAGTATGTAATGGAAATAAATATCTTTATTTATTTGGAAAATGAAATTTAAGAACATAACGGAAAGAATTATCCTTATTTGAAAAATAAAATTTAAGAACGTAAATACGTAATGGAAAGAAATATTTTTATTTAAAAAATAAAATTTAAGAACGCAACGGAAAGAATTATCTTTTTTTTTGGAAAACAAATTTTAAAAACGTAACGGAAAGAATTATCTTTATTGGGAAATAATGAAATGAAATTTAAGAATGTAACTAAAATGAGAGAAATCTAGTACGCGGAACAATATATAATTTGAGAAGTTTCTTCATTTTGAGAAAAAAGAACTGCAACAATACAATAGCACCTCCAACTTTTCTCTTCACTGCTTTCAACGTAACCATGAACAGAGAGCTAGATCATCTCGTCCCCATGGATTTCAAAAACGCCGACCAAGTTCCCGATACCCACACTTGGGTTGACTCCCCTTGCATCAACTCTTCTTCAAGCGACGAATCTGTTCCCTTGATCGATCTTGAGGACCTGCAAGCCGTCGAGAAAATAAAAATGGCTTGTGAAAACTGGGGTGTTTTTCAGGTGATCAACCACGGGGTTCCAGTGGCGCTTTTTGCCGAAATTGAGAATCAGGCTCGCCGGTTCTTTGCATTGCCGAGGGAGCAGAAGCTCCTCACTTTGCGCTC